CAGAGCTGACTCAATAGAATGTAATATATGCAACGTTAGCAAAGTAAAAATCATTAGAAATTATGTTATTTTAAGCAATCATTGAAAAAACCCTCTATTCTAAAGGCAGGTGTATTTTATTATTCTTCGCACTGGATTAAGTGCTTTGATAGTTTCTTCCTGATTCTTCATTGGATACTCCTTGGACCTCTGAGGGACCCTTGGCTTAATGCTTTGCCCTATTCTCAAACTACGTTCACTCCTTTGAGTACTGGCTTTCAAACATTTGGTCAGGCCACACAATGAGAAATACATTTTATAATGCAATTCATTATACACTGAATAAAAGTGAAATAAAATAGTTATGAAGAAATCTCCTTTGTGGGAGATGGCTAATAATTTTTACTCTGTGTTTCTTATTGTTTTTTTAGTTCTGGTTAGTACTCACTGAATTGATTTCAAGACCCATTAATGGGCCAACAACTCACAATATAACAGGCCTGTTATAGGTGATCTCCAGTGCCAGAAGTTTAAATATCTGTAATTCCTTTATTTCTCACCTATATCCTTTCCCCTGAACTTCAGGTTCCTGTATCCTACCTGACATCTCAACTTGGGCATTTTTCTAAACCTCTTCTTAGTAGTCTAGTCCTCTTCTTGGTAAGATGGAAAACCCTTCACCCAGATGCTCAGGCTCATAACTCAACGCCTTTATTCCCTCTCATAACCTACTATTTCTACCTTTGAAATCTATGCTAAATTCAACTTCTCAGCACCCTTACTACTATCACTGTAATCTAAGTCATCATCAGCTCTACAAAAGCCTATAACTATTTCCTCCACTCTCCATAAACAGTAAGTGCTCCAACAATAATCAGGCTGATCCTTCAAAAACTTAGATTAGATTACGTCCCCTGCTCACAACCACCCCCGGTAAACTCCAAGTTCCTAACATGGCCTTTATAGGGCCTAATGTGACCCTAGTTCTCCTTCTTTTCTGACCTCATCTCCTACCCCTCTGCCCTCTTGTTCACCCCTCTAAAGCTAGTTCTCCTTACTCTTCTTGGAAGATGCCAGGAACAACGCTCAGACATGAACATCTTTGTATCTGCTGTTCCCTCTACCTAGAATGCTCTTCTTCAAGATATTCACATGGTTTGCTCCTTCATTTCATTATAATATTAACTCAGAGCAGCCTTTCCTGACAACCTAAAATGAAAAAGCACTGCAATCACTCACTAACCTCTTTACTAGAGGCCCAGCACCGGAAATCGCGAAGCCCCACCCACCCGCCAGTGCCACCAGCCTTGCTGAGATCCGAGCTTGTGCGCCGTAGGGGAGGGACCAAGAGGTGTGCTATGCACTTCGCAGGGACCAGTCATTTGGGTTTTGGTTGTGACGCCTCTTGGCCTTTTATTATTATGATTACCTGACATAACATCTCCAATGCTTAAATAAACAGTACTCAAAATTTAGTTCAAAAAATGAATGTACATACACAAATGACTATCAGTAATCACTGTAATGAGAGTACTATTAAGAACTTTAGTCTTAAAAAAAGAAAAAACGTTAGTCTTGATACATTAACCCCATTCTTCTTGACACCATTCTCTCTCTTCCAAATGAATGCATCTATCTTAAAAGCCATCTATATATGTTAAAATCAAGAAATAAGATCACCTCTGTGAGCTGAACTGGAAAAAAAAGAATAACTAGGATCTATCCAAACATATAAATGAATAAAGCATAGCTCTGGCTGGTGTGGCTGTTGGTTGGAGCATGGTCGTCCTCTCCACAGGGTTGTGGGTTCGATTCCCAGTCAGGGCACATATTTCACGTTTGATCCCCAGTTGGGGAACCTCTGGGAGGCAACCAATCAATGTTTCACTCTCACACTGGTCTCTCTCAAAAATCAATAAAAGCATATCCTCAGGTGAGGGTTTTTAAAAAAGCATAAAAGATTTTATGTATGTTTTCAGGCAAGAGAAATAGGAATCTAGATTTTACATACTGACTTAGTAAGTAGAATATTTATGCACCAATAATTATAAAGAATGGATAAGAGTCTGGAGCAGCAGTTCTCAACCTGTGGGTCGCGACCCCTTTGGCAGTAAAACGACCTTTTCACAGGGGTAGCCTAAGACCACCCTGCATATCAGATATTTACATTACGATTCATAACAGTAGCAACATTACAGTTATGAAGTAGCAACGAAAATAATTTTATGGTTGGTTCACAACATGAGGAACTGTATTTAAAGGGCCAGAAGGTTGAGAACCACTGGTCTAGAGTCTGGAGTTGATTAACCAGGGTTAGTAAATTCTGGTCTTGTTATTTAAAAACAATGTAAAACTTTTCTGTACCTTAGTTTCCTCATTTATAAAATGGGGACAATAAGTATAACACTTACCACATAGTGTGTTGTGAAAACAGAGTAACGCCTATTTATAATAGTAAGTTCCTAAGTAAATATTAGCTATTATTATTATTTTATAATTTATCACCAAATTCCTTATCCATTGACACTATTAAAATACACAAATTTTGATGGGCAAGCTCAAGTTATGCTTTCTAATTTCAAACTTCTTCTCAGGAAAGGTAAAGGGGTCCGTGTTGAACTGAAAAGGTACCCCCTTACCCCAAATATTGAAAAAAACCTATTAGTTAATGAGGTTGATATCTAGGAAGTCACACAATAGAATATAAGTGATACCCTAAGTTCACATTAACTGCTTATATTGTACAAAATAGCTCATCACAGTTTACAAGTATGAAAAAAATTCAAACTCTACTTTCTTAGAAATTAAAACTTAAATTTAAAGCCATTTAAATTCTCCACTACATCAAATGGTCAACATTATGGATATAGGAACTTAACTTGTGTTTTCTACATTGCACAAAATAGCACTATTTGGTTGCAAATGTCACCCCTATTTTCTTACAGTAATATAGACTTAAAAAACAAACAACTTGCCCCTACAGAGATCAGCAGCAGCTAATTACCCAAAATATTAAAAGTTAAAAGAAAAAAAGTCTGAACTCTTTCAGTGCTCATTGTACTTTGTAATGTGGGGATGCCTACAGTTAAGTTCTAGAAAACAAAATCCTGTAATTAAAATTATGTGTTTTCTTATCTGGGCTAGAAGTGAATAAAAAAATGCTTAAAAGGAAAAAAAGCTTACTGTAAATTTAGCCATAGAGGAAGTGTGTCATCTTCCCCCCAGAAAATCAGGGAATCACCTGTTGCCAGAGAATCATAATGCCTCTAGCTAAGCCTGACCTCATAATTAATAGGGATTCACAGCATGAAATGCTAGCATGTTAGAAACATCAGCAAGCCTGAAATCAAATTACTAAATTTCTACAGCTGGTTATGATCTAAATGGTTTCACTCTTTGCATTTTAAGTACTTACTAATCATAAAAGAATTGAGGCGGCTATTTTGAACTTGAAGATAAAAAGAATATACACTAGAGAACTAGGTGTATACTACAGATGTTTTAGTTGACTAGCCTCAGAATGTGGAGTTTCAAGTTCTGGTAAATTGTTGTTATAAAAGCCAACTGGATACACAGTAGTTATTCTAATTTCAAATCACAGGTCATACAGAAGCTACATATTTAAACACAGGTTTAAAAAAAACCCAAAAACAACTGGACAGGCCCACTACTACAGAAGTTTGAACTCTGTTTAAAGCATACAACTAGAAGTATGAATACTAGTAAATATATAAATGAGCTGATAAAATGATTTTCAAATCTGATTTTTTTCAGACTTATTGTTGAAGTGAGACCTATTAAAATGATGCCTTCAGGTAGAACTCAAACACAATTTCAAATACTGAGCATGCTTAAGGCAATCCTGAGTAGTGTGTATTTCCCACCAGGCAATTAAAAAAAACAAAACTCACATAGCTTAATGCTTTATTAAATATGGCAGCAGCCCTAGCTGCTTTGGCTCAGTGGGTAGAGACTCAGCTTGTGGACTGAAGGGTCCTGAGTTCAATTCCCGTCAAGGACACATGACCGGGTTACCTGTTTCATTCCCACTGGGGCCTGTAGGAGGCAGCCAATCAACGATTCTCTCTCATCATTGATGTTTCTCTCTCCCTCTCCCTTCCTCTCTGAAATCAATAAAAATATATTTTATAAATAAATAAATATGACAGCAAATCACGTGGTTGTATTTATAACAAAGAATTTATTTTCACAATATTTAAATGATCGTGTTTACATATTTCAAATTTGTCACATCATTAGTTCTTACCAGCTTTTGCATTTTTATCCTTGAAACACTTTCTATAGATAAGCTTAGAAAAAGCATTGTAGCTTCTTGATCAATAATTTAGCACAAGATATATTATTAAATGCTGGCATTTCCTTGACATTCAAGAACTTAGGACAGGAATGGGACGGTGGCATTAAGGGATCCTGGCATTAAAAATAAACGGAGGGGGGAAACAAGTCGCCTAATCCCCAAGTCAGGTCGAATTGGGATGGGAAGTACGTGTATTAGTAAACGTTTTTAAAGCCAAAGCAACTTTCATGCAAGTTAGACGCAAACTTTTTGCTGAAGTTTAACACCGAAGTGCAACACTGATGGCGTGCAGAAGTAAATGGACCAACACGAAACAAACCCTTTGGAGCAACTGTTAAGCAGGATGCGCACAGAGCTGCTTCCTCCCATCAGGAAGGGCTGGGATGGAAAACTAAGCGCCGATGGAAAAGAAGGTAAAGCGCGATGAAAGAGATCTTAAAATTACACTTAAAGCAACGGCTAACGGCCTGACTCCTCCGACTAGAAGCTGCTCCATTCCCCCTACCGCGCAGGGAGCCCGGAGCCCCCACCCACACGCTCAGAACCCGTGGGCAAGGAGAGGCCCGAGAGAAAGAGAGACCACAACACTAATTCCGCGCCCTGGCCCGTCCCTCGCGTTGTCGGCCCTGTTGCCCGGGAAGCAAAGAGGAGCCTTGGGAGTTGGCGGGGACGGCGGAGCCGGCGGCCCGAGCGCCCTCTTTACCTGGTCGCAGACGCGCGGCCAGGCAGG